ATCCACTAACCTAGTAGTGGACAGCCCCACATCAACCAAAGAGGGCTTGATCTGTTATGTTAGTGGACTAAAATCACTACAATACATAACAGGCAACAAATAATCATAGAAGGCCAATCGGCAATACTTCAAGAACCATAAACTACTGACTGCTCGTCAATGAATCCATGCCTAACTCTCACAACTAAGCATTACCAATACGAAGCAAATACAGGGTTCACCAATAAACAATATGTAATACTAACATCATTCCAGCAGTAACAGCTACCTTAAACTCGAGATCTTGATATTAAATTCAATCAAAATCACAGTAACCAGAAAACCGATCCTCAGACACTTAATCTTCCCTAAGAAGAATGCAACACATCAAGGCTCAAACACCCCCACACTTCTTCAATTTCATCTTTCACAACCAAATTTATTTAAATTGCAGGCATGACGGAAAATAGGAAATTATTACCAGCCCTGACGCCTGAAGCACCAGCTTTCTTTAACCCCTTCTTCTTCACGATAAAGCTGGCCCCAATGAAGAAGCTGGAAGACAGTGCCAAAACCAGCCCTTTTATATTGTCGGACGACATCCCCTTGTACAACAAATCCGAAGAAGTGGCAGCACCGGCCGCAGCCGCCGCCTCGGCAGCCATATTTACAATCTCACAGCAATAAAAGGGAAAAAGAAAAAAGAAACAGAAAATCCACAACTATCACAAGATCATTCTTGTACCACTTTAATCCAAAGGGAAACGTTTTCTTTCGCACTTTTCTCCAGGTTTATGCCTCTAGATCGCTGCTTCCAGTAACGTTCTACTGGATAGTGTGACAAGACTCAGTACATACAACGGAAATCAAGTAGTGGTTCGACTGTGAAGGAAAGATCTACAATTAGTCCGGCGGCGGAAACAAAGAAGTGAAGGAAATAATGAATGCCGGCAGCGACGAAAGCACAGCTGTGAATAAATTGGAAGAATGAAGGGGGTTTGTGCTGGGGAAAAATGTTTCAGATCGGAATTAGGGCAGTAGAGAGAGAAATTAAGCAGAGAGAAATTAAGCAAGGAATAATAAAGGAAATGTCCCCGACTGGTTTTTTTTATTTTTTATTTTTTCCCGTTGGGGATATGTTAAAATGGAAATATCCGCGTGAATTTGTGTTTCACAAAATAGAAAGCTGAGAGTATAACGTTACTTGGATGATTGGATCCCAACGTTATGTTTTTAAAAATATTTATATATATATGTGCATATTGTTATAAATGTTGGAAATATAAAGAACTTAATGTACAAATCGAATTGAAATTATAATCATTTTTTTCTTCTTTTCATATTTATATTTTTCCAATTCATTTGGGTAGCCATTTTACAAGTAGTCTACCGTTGATCACCGCATCAACTTACTATTCATACTCATCATCTCATTATTTTGATTTCTTTATACTGATTCAATTTCACTTATTTACAACGCTTCCCCTTGGAATTAATTTCACTTATTTACAACATTTTCCTTTGGATTTACTGTAAAATATTAGTTTATAACTCCTCAATAAAAACGTTCTCCGAAAAAATCCTGTGGGAAAAAATCGAGATAAAGAAAAAAGAGTACAGCTACACATGCTCTCCCTAAAGTTATCTTCTGTGCAAATCTCGAAGGCGTCTCATTCCAAGGTTGTTGACGTGCTTTCGTAAATGTTGTATTCGGAAGCGCATTCATAAATAAATATGATGCATTATAGCTTGATCGAATATATTGAATTTTGATTTGTTTGTTCCTTTCAACCTCTTGAGTGTATGAAAAGAACTTTGGCGACACATGTTGCGTTGTCTTCGAATATCACCGTCGGATCTTTTTATTCGATAATTCACTGGCTTCTTGAATATGTTGAGTCATGTTTCTGAGCCAGATGTTTTCTTAAGTTGCTTCATGAAGTGCAATGGTCTCAGCATGGTTTGAAGATGTAACAACTAATGTTTGTTTTTTAGAACGTCAAGAAAATGCAATTCCACCAATCGTAAAAACGTAGTCAGTTTGAAATCTTGTCTTTTGTGGGTCTGATAAATATTTTGTATCTGCAAAATCAATCATTTCATGTTTTTATCATTTGAGTAAAACAATCTCAAATCGGTTGTCCCTTGGAGATAAATAAGGGCATTACCACAAAAAAGTATCGGTTAGTTCCACATAAATTCTCAATCACACTTATGTCTTCATGTTCAGTCCCTCTTTTTTTTTTCCACTTCACTCCCTACTAAAATCCTCTCTTTCCTCACAGCTACCCATACATACATATATATATACATATATATATATATATATGTTAAGATTATTATTAACCATTTAATTTAATTGTAAAGCGTAACAAATTGAAAAAAAATATCTTCTCCTTCCTCTATACTCTCACTCCAGATCTAAAAAAAAAGGTTCGAATGCACATGGCGTTGAATACTCTCACAAAGTGTATTCGACTTATCCTCCCCCTTGCCTTCCATGTCCAGTCCACCCCAAAATCCACAATGCTAATAACCTCTCTGCCGATACTTCAGTTCAAATCCCTCTCCCTTGTCACCCCATTCATCCATGGCGGCGCCGCCGCCGCTACTCCGTTCTTAAGACCCTTCAGGCCCGCAACCACCACCTGCAATGAGGTCACTGCAGGGAAGGTCGTCTGCGCCATCAGCGACAAGATTGTGGCGGTGGAGGTTGTCCGGCCCCACATCCCAAGTACAAGCGCCGCGTGAGGAGGAGGAAGAAGTACCAGGCCCACGACCCAATGAACCAGTTTAATGTCTGGGACTTGTGATGTGAACCAGACTTTTGAGTGCAAATCGAATCACGTAGATGATGGCGGGAGTAATTAATTTTAGTTATGTATGTTAAGTATTTAGATAGGATTAGTATATTAGTTATAATTTAAATATTTGAATGGTTAGTTAGCATAGTTTGAATATTTGAATGTTGTTTCTTTTACTATTTAAAAGGTAGGAAATGATATTGTAAAAAAAAAAAAGAAAAGTTTATGAAATAAAGTTTAAGAAAAAGACTCGTTTCTGAGTACTATCTTTGTGAAAAACCGAGGCCGATAGTGCAGGTTTTCACTTAATAATGTGTCGATCAAGGCCGTCAGTGCGGGTTTACACATTTTATCGTGTTCGAACCAAGGCCGTTACCGCGGGTTCTTACACAAAATCGAGTTCTGATACACGATCTTCATCAAGCTGGTCCAGCTCGAGAAGAGCTGGCGTTTGTTGCATTTTTTCCTTGTCATTTTTCATTTCTTTTTCCACCATATTAGGTCTTTTAGATGGTATTTAGTCCTTTTTATAGTTTATTGTGTGTTTTACTCTATTTTGGTCTTTTATGTGTTTTTCGTATGTTTTTCTGGTTTTTGTTCTTGTTTTTAGTGTGCAGGTCGGAAGCCTCGTGAGGAAGAGATTTTGCCCGAACATGGACCGGGCAATCATGGTTGTGTAGACGGGCTCGTTGCGACATATATAAAGAAGCAGAACTCAATTTCGAGCTTGGACGAGTCCGAACGGTCCCAAAATGCGAAGTCGCGCGAAGTACATCTTTGGTGTGCTGGTCATAAGCTTTGGGAGAATTGAATTTGAAGAATAATTTGGCCATGCAAGCATCATTGTATAGAGGGGTTCGTTAGCGATGCGTAAGAAAAAACGGAACTCAATTCCAAGTTCGGACGAGCTCAAACGAACCTAAAACGCAAAGTCGCGCAACGCAGACCTTAGCGGCTCTAAGAGGGTTAGCGGCGCTAACCCCTGCGCGACCAGATTTTTATTAATCTCGGTTTTGCTCGATTTTTTAAGCCCCATTCATTGGGACTCGTTCCCAACCATAGAAAGCACCTCCAGACCCGTTTTTATCAGTTTTTTCCCCCAAAAACACTTGAATCTTCATCATGGATTAATCTTGGAGAGTGAGACTCCAAGGTTTGTTTTCTTGTTTTTAAGTTTGCTTGTACTTTGGATTCGACCTTGGCTTCTATATTAGTCGTAAGCATTAATTGTCGTTTAATCTATGGGATTGATGATATGTGTTGATATGATGCTTTGTGTTGAATTCATTATGCGTAGCTAAATTCGATTGCTAGGGATAGGGGATGATTGTTCTTGTTTAATTCGTATCTGTCGGGCTTGATTCATTTGTTCTTGTGCGAGTTAATTTAATTAGGAATCGATGAAATCTTGTTTGATTGATTGATATAATTGAAGAGTGACACTTCGATCTTGCAATTGGAAACGATTGAATGTTGATTAGTCGATTTAGGGTTTTGTTGATTCTAAATGGTTACTTGATTAAACACCTTCTAATTGAATTAGCGGCTTTTATAATCGAAAGGGAGACATCGTAGACCTAGGCTCGCATGAGGCAGATGATTTCGTAATTAATAGTCTATGGGCTTTAGATTGAAATACGTGTTTGTCGATGACCCGTCCCTTGTTACGAAAAGTCATTGAGATTGGGATAATTGGTCTGTGTTGTATGCTCGAGCATGCTCGTCTATGTTCAATCCCTTGTTACAAAGAGTTATTGAGAGCGAACCGCTAGATGTTTAAGTGAAAGCGTCATTCTGGAATATAACGATTAATGTCCCGGTTTTGCGTATAGAACTTGAATTAATTATCCCCGACACCCTAGCTTCTTTATTCTTGTTTCGTTTATATTTTTAGGTAGATTATTGATTTTTATTATTTCTTAGTTGGTAATTATTCTACCCTCATCTTGATTAGAATGTTTAGGATTTTATTTTCTTTTTGTGTGTAATTAATACCAAAGCTAAATTCCGAACCGCCTTCCTTGAGAGATCGACCTAGGGAACGAATCTTTCGATTCGGTACTCGGTAAAATAAAAATAAGTGGTACACAACAAAAACAATTTGTACACAACAGCTGGCCCATTAGCAAGACCAAGACTTACTGGGCCGTTGCGGTCCCTCCGTGTGTACTAATTTTAAATAGAAATATTTTATATAATTTTACAGAAGTTGAATTTCATATAATATTTTAAATAAATTAACATAGGGAGCGTATTACATGTTGATTTCACATTTTTAATGTACGTGTACTTATATACTGTCATTTAGTACCGACTTATATATATGAAAATGAATATATAGGGTAAACATTTGTTTACAAAAATGATACTTATAATGTATTAGGACAATGCCAATGTGGTTGTAACTTAGTACCTATATATTGTGTGGGAGGAAAGATAATGAAAAATAATAAAACATTAAAAAAAATAGTAGTAGGATAGATAAATAGTAGAAGATGAGAAAAAGAAAATAATAAAAAATGTGTGGAAAAAGAAAGAAAGAAAGATAATAAAAAATTAGAAAAGTTAATAGTTGAGAGAGAGAAATAATAAAATAATATGTAAAGTTAGGTTGTAGGTGGAAGATGTAATTTGTAAATTTATTTTTAATTGATTATAACAAGATGGAGTTAAGTGGAAGATTATTAAGGGCTAGGTAGTGAAGTGAAAATAAATTAACCTAGAGACTAAAAGGACGAGAAGGGATAGCTCAGCTGGTAGCACCCTTCACTTGAGACCAATAGGTCACGAGTTCGAGTCATCCAAGGGGGCAAGTGGGAAACTACTATCGATCCTCTTTGGAANACATATATTTTTCAACATAATACACATTTTCATTTAACAAATTTATATATAATAGAAAAATACGTGGTATAATATTAAAATGGTACCATTTTGTGCTTTTTATTTGTTGATGTATTATAATTTTATTTTGTAATTTTTTAATATTAAAGTGGTATCATATGAATAAAAATTAATACATTCAAACAAGTAGATTTCACTAAAGTTAAAAGTTTACAACAAACGTAAATCATAAAATACATAAAAACAACATAATAGTAATTATACATTTTTTATAAACTTAAATATACATATATATACCAATTCATTTGAAATAAAAATAAATAATATACATTTTTATTAGTGGGTAATAAATATTTATATAATATTAAATATACATATATATACTAATTTATTTGAAATAAAAAAATTAATAAAAAAATAATATATTTCATTTCATGTAGAGTAAAATGTAAAAATAAGAGTTGAAGATGAATGTTTAACTCTGGCATGATTAGTATGATGAAATAGAATTTTGTAGGAATGAATTGAAGAATGGAATGATTATAGAAATGTATTGAGACATGTTTTGTCATTGATGCGTTTGGTATGTAGAAGGAATAAGACTGAAATGGAATGACATTATCATTTTTTATTATAAAACTAAATAAAAGCTTTTTTTTAAAAGAAATAATATACTTTTAATAAATTATATATAAATATTTTTAATAATAACTTAAAATAAAATAATATATTTTTAATAATATATTTTGAATAATCTATAAAAAGAGAATAATATATTGTTTAATAATACAAAAATTATATATTTTTAATAATATATAAAAGTAAAATAATATATTTTTAAAATATTCTTAAATGTAATATATTTTTAACATATAAAAAATAATATATTTTTAATAATATTTTAAAATAAGAAGTAATATATTTTTAATAATATATTTTATTTTTTAATTAAACAGTAAATAAAAGTAAGATTTCAATTTTTTATTTGAATTTTATTTTTTAAAGTAATATATTTATAATATAAAAAATAATATAATTTTAATATATAAAAAATAATATTTTTTTAATAATATATAAAAATAAAATAATATATTTTTATATTATATATAAATGCTTTTTTAGTTTTATTTTTATATAAGTATTTAATTAATATATCAAATTAAAAAATAAATAAAAGTAAGTTTTCAATTTTTATATTTGATTTTTTTAAAAAATAATTTTATTTAATATATTTTAATTATGATTTATAATATATATTCTATATTTATTTTTTATTATTATTTGTTAATTTTATTTTTTGAAAAATTGATTCCTACACACATGGGAATGAGAAAACTTTCCATTTACCATGGAATGGCTAATCCCATGGAGATAGGTTTTGTCATTCCTATTGGAATGATCGTTCATACCCAAAAAATATACCAATCATGGGATAAGAAATGAGTAAGGGAATTATCATTCCATTCTCATGTCATTCCTTCCTACCAATCATGCCATAAGTGTTAGAGTAGAGATAAGAGCTCAGGAGGGATGAGAGATTTATATCTATATCTATATCTATATCTATATCTATATATATATAAAGAGGTTGTTAGAAAAATACATTAATAGAAAGTTTGACCAAATAAATATAATGTTTGACTTACTATTAATGGAAAGTTCGAAAAAACACATGTAAATCTTTAGAAACAAAATCTGAATCCTATTTTTTCGGTAACAAATTTGAAGATTCTTATGGCAAAATTTGAATCCCATTTTTTTCGTATCATATTTTATTTTTTTTACCAAAATTTAAATCATATCTTTTTTGGTAATAAATTTAGAGATTCATATGCAAAAAATGTGTCAATTATTTATTAAAACAATTCTAAATACAAATCAATTTAAAAACCGTGTAAATTGGATACAAATTTACGAAACAAATAGTTGCATAATTTCTAACTAATTCTTCCAATCTTAATGAATAATTTTTTCTTTCAAAAAAAGTGTGTAAATTGGTTAAAACCATGTGCAATTTTTATTTTAAAATAAAACTGATATTTGGACGGGATGTACATTAAAAATTGTGCCCACATTTTTTGGTAACAAAAGCGGTTCATCTTTTAAAATAATTAATTGCACACCATATTTAGAAAGTTTTAGATATTTTAAATCATAAAATAGGGTAGCATTAAATGCCCCTAAAATTATGGGTTTTGCTGAATTCATTTTTGAAAATTTCGAGAGATATTAAAGTGAATATGAAATTCAAAATCTCTTTTCATTTTTTTTTTAATAAAATCTGCATCCAAATATACGTGTGGTTTTGAAGTGAAATTTTGAAATTCAAAATCTCTTCTCATTTTAGTTACAAGAAAATCGGACTGCATTCAACACTTTGACCAATTTAAAAATTATTCCTTAAATGAAAGAATTTATAGATAATTGTTATCTCTACTCAATCACATGATTATTTTCATTATAAAATGAGACATAGTACAAATTAGTGAATCATATATTACCGAATACAATATCTTAACATTAAGGAATAAATTCATAGTATTATGTAAATCCGTATCTCATATTATTATATCATTAAGAATATATTATAGTTATATTATCAAATCTTTTAAACATATTAAATTCATATTGTAAAAAAAATAATTCATATAATTTTATAACAATTCTAATACACTATTTAACAATATTCATTTTTTTTATATAATAAAATAATAATTAAATATTATATACTGAACAACAACAAGTAAAACTGTTACTTTCTCTTATATCAAGGGATAAATTTATATGCTAAAATGAAATTTTTATTAGTATAAATATTTTAGTGAGATAATATATTAATTACCATAGCTAAAAAAAAAAAAACAACAACGCTAAAAGATGTGGAAAAAAACTTATAATAACCCTATTGTTTTCTAGACTTAACGTTGATTAAAAGAGGTAGAAAATAGATAATAATCCTATTATTTTTTAGACTTAAACGGATAAGGGTGTGAAAATAACTCATTTATAAAAACCACATTAAAAACCTTGCAAATTTGGTACAAATTTAAGAATAAATAGTTGTATAATTCTTAACAAATTCTTCCAATATTACTGAATATTTTTTTCTTTCAAAAAAAGTGTGTAAATTGGATAAAACCACGCGCAATTTTTATTTTAAAATAAAACTGATATTTGGACGGGATGTACATTCAAAATTATGTCCACGTTTTTTTTGTAACAAAAGCGGTTCATCTTTGATATTTATAGTCACCTTATCCAATTATTTAGAAAAAATTGTGTGCGACTTTTCAAAATTTGAAGGCATCGATTTTTTTGAATTCTTATGTTTGTTTTAACCATGTTTTACCGAAATTTTGGTAAGTTCATATCATTTTTTTTCTTGGTTAAGTTCATATCATTTTCTTTAAGAAAGAGACAGTTGCATAAACATTAACAGATTATTTTAATTTTTTATTAGAATTAGTTTCAATTCAATTTGTTTGGTAAAAAAATTGGTGCAATGTTAGGAAATTTCGGTTGCAATTTTAGGAAAAATTGATGATTTTTTATTTGGTTTAAAAAAATATTCGGATCAATTACTTTGATAAAAAAATAGTTTATTGGTAGAAAAATCGATTTCATTTTCAGGAATAACTAATGATGTTTTCAATTTTTCTTAATTGAAATTTAGAATTAGATTTAAAATAAATAATGGGTGAAAATCCCTAAAAAAAATTACTTTTTTTTATACTTCAATTTTGTTCAATAAATAAGATCCTTTAAATTTTTTAAAATTTGTTAACTAATAACTAATAATATGCAATTTTGGATAAATTCGAACACCTATGTAGTACTTTACGTGCCAAAGAATCAAATCAATAATGTTGTACATAAGGAAGTGTTTAATAACATATAAATTTTATTTTCATGAAATTTTTAATGGCATGAGACAATTTAAATACAAAAATATCTTTAAAAAAATATATATATAATAAATGTCCGTGCATCGCACGGGCACCATACTAGTATATATAAAGAGGTTGTTGGAAAAATACATTAATAGAAAGTTTGACCACATAAATATAATGTTTGACTTACTGGTAATAGAAAGTTCAAAAAAACGCATGTGAATCTTTAGTAACAAAATCTAATTCCTATTTTTTTTTGTAACAAAATTGGAGATTCTTATGGCAAAATTTGAATCTCATATTTTTCGTATCATATTTTATTTTTTTATCAAAATTTAAATCATATCTTTTTTGGTAACAAATTTGAAGATTCTTATGCAAAAAATGTGTCAATTATTTTTTAAAACAATTATAAATACATATTAATATGAAAACCGTGGAAATTGGATACAAATTTAGCAAGCAAATAGTTGTATAATTCTTAACTAATTCTTTCAATCTTATTGCATAATTTTTTCTTTCAAAAAAATTGTGTATATTGGATAAAGCCACATGCAATTTCTATTTTAAAATAAAACTGATATTTGGACGAGATGTACATTCAAAATTGTGTCCACATTTTTTGGTAACAAAAGCGGTTCATCATTGATATTTAAAGTTACCTTATCCAATTATTAGGAAAAATTATGTGCAACTTTTCAAAAATTAAATGAATCGATTTTTTTAGATTCTTATTTTTTTCTTAACTATTTTTATCGAGATTTTGGTAAATTCATATCATTTTTTTGGTTAAGTTCATATCATTTTCTGTAGGAAAGAGACAGTTGAATAAACATTAACAATTTATTTTAATTTTTTATTAGAATTATTTTCAATTCAATTTGTTTGGTACAAAAATTGGTGTAATGTTAGAAAAATTTGGTTGCATTTTTAGGAAAAATTGATGATTTTTTTTATTTGGTTTAAAAAAAATCGGATCAATTTGTTTGGTAAAAAAATCGGTTTATTGGTAAGAAAATCAGTTTCATTTTCGAGACTAACTAATGATTCTTTTCAATTTTTCTTAATTGAAATTTAGATATAGATTTAAAATAAATAATGGATGAAAATTTCTAAAAAAATTTATTTTTTTTCTACTTTAATTTTGTTAAATAAATAAGATCCTTTATTTTTTTTTAAAAATTTGTGAACTAATAACTAATAATATACAATTTTGGATAAATTCGAACACCTATGTAGTACTTTACGTGCTAAAAAATCAAATCAATAATGTTGTACATAAAGAAGTGTTTAATAATATATAAATTTTTTTTTAATGAAATTTTTAATGACATGAGACAATTTAAATACAAAAATATCTTTTAAAAAATATATATATATATAATAAATGTTACCGTGCCACGGTCACCGTACTAGTTTCAGTTAAAATGAATAAAGTTAAAATGAATTGATCCTCCCCTCGAGATTCTATGTAAAAATCTACACCGTTGAAACTTGAAACGAAACATAACTAAACACCGAAAGCCCTGAAAAAATTATGCGGTTGCCCTCTACATTTTCCTTGAATATATACGTGCAGCTGCTCTCTGACTGCGAGCCGCCCCCATTTTGAGCTCTCACATTCCCTTCGTCACCATCCTCAACCCAACAAGTTAGTTATTCTCTACATTTCGTTTATAACTTTACTTTCTTCCTGCATTTCTTTTGTTAAAGCAAAAAATAATCGATTTTCCTCTTTTTCCTATATCATTTTCCTTTTTCCCGGTAAACTATTTAATCTAATCAACGATGTAGGTGATAGCTGCTAATTTCTTGTGGTTGCTCATGCTTGATTTCGATGTTCGATGGTCGATTGAGTGCGATCTTCTTTGATTTTGCCGTTATGCATGTTTGCAGGTTGTTTGCTTGCATTCTGATTGTGCCTTTGTTGGTCTGTTATCGGCGGAGAGAGAGAGAATTGAGGACAATCAACTCTTTCTGCTGCTTACGGTCAAATTCACCTTCCTCATTTGTCGAAACTTCTTGATTCTAGGAACATTTGTTCATCCATTAATTCTTAAGGGGCTCCTTTTGGGTTAGCGGCCATGGCAGCCACATTGCATTTACGTGGACTCGTGACATCTCATCCATGTTGCTCCAAGAGAGCCTCGTGCTTTCAATCTGTTTGGGGACACCATAATCTTGGCCACCTGGTTACCCCTCTTCCTGCTCCTGGTTCACGTACGCATCTGAATGGGTCTCGTGGACAGCTGGCCCTTCGAATTAATTGTGTGGCTGGCAGGGTCGGCATCCTAGAGAAGCATGATGTCGAGGACCAAGCATCTGAACAAACTGCAAATCAGCTGACGTGTGTGATGAAGTTTGGTGGCTCATCTGTTGCCTCGGCAGATAGGATGAGAGAAGTAGCTGAACTTATTCGCAGCTTTCCTGAAGAGAGGCCTGTCATTGTTCTTTCTGCTATGGGGAAAACAACCAACAAGCTCCTACTGGTACTTGTTGTTCTTACCCATGGTATTGTTCCTTTTGTTTGGTTCACCTTATACTCGGAAAAAAGATTTTTTTTTTTTTTTTTTTTTTTTTTTTTTTTTTTTTTGAGGTGGGAGTATTGGTTTGTGTGCCAGGCTGGAGAAAAGGCGGTCACTTGTGGGGTTTCAAATGTGTCTGATCTTGAAGAACTGACCTTCATCAAAGATTTGCATTTGAGGTAACCTTGTATTATTTTATTCTATTCTTTAACCGTTCTAGTGAATATACATGTCTGACTGAAATGCCTTGCCTTACCAGTACTGCAGACGAGCTTGGGGTAGAAAGGTCTATAATTGCAAGTGAGTGTTCTACTGTACATTGAATATATTGTGTAACAACTTTCACCTGTTTAAATGAAAATTCATGGAAGATCAGATAAGTGTTCAATTCTATTGTACTTGTAAATTTTGTCGTGTTATTCACTTGCTGTTTGTACCTTGTGTGTACATTCTGGATTTGGTACTGAACTTCTGTTGTTTGGTGAAATCCTGACATATAACCACTCTTTATTAAGTCCTATCATATTTAGCAATTTTCGCAGATGCTGAGATAATAGATATGATTTTTCTAATAAAGGTTCCCTTTGTCTTCCCCGAAACCTTTCACAGAACACCTCTCTGAGTTGGAACAGCTTCTGAATGGGATTGCTATGATGAAAGAGATGACTCTGAGAACAAAGGACTATCTTGTCTCTTTCGGCGAGTGCATGTCCACTAGGATTTTTGCAGCATATATGAATAAGATTGGTGTCAAATCTCGTCAAGTATACTTCTGTCTTCCTACAAATATTTTGATCTTCATAATATATTATCCTTACTGATGTTTAAGATTCACCCAGTTGTGGTGAAAGTAATTTATGAGTGCAAACATTGACGAGTAAATGAAGAGAGCGTCAATCATATGTTGAGGATACAACATGATGTTTATGAAATATTTTGTAAATTCAAGGTGCTTCTTTCGCTCAATGATGCAAGTTTGATTTTCATTTGCAGTATGATGCCTTTGAAATGGGTATTATCACTACTGATGATTTTACGAATGCGGACATTTTGGAAGCGACTTATCCAGCTGTTGCAAAGAGGTTGTGTGGAGATTGGAATAGTGATCCTGCAATTCCTATTGTGACTGGGTTCCTTGGGAAGGTTGGCCCTTTATGGAGCCCAATGTTCAGCCTCACCTAACCATTTCTTTTATTGATTTCATTGAATTCATGATTTTGTGCCCTAAAGTACTTCTGATTGTAGGGCTGGAAAAGTTGTGCTGTCACTACATTGGGAAGGGGTGGTAGTGATTTGACTGCCACAACAATTGGTAAAGCTTTGGGGTTGAGGGAAATTCAAGTAAGTGAATATTGACTCTACGTGCTCTTTTTACTGTACATATGTATATGCATGAATAAACCACTTTCCATTAGTTCCACGCATTACATGATATTTTAAACGCATTAATTCAGTATCATCATATGTTCAAGATTCATGAGTTATTTGCATGGTGACCTAGTGATCCCAACATATATCCTGGTGTATAAATATTTTAGGTGTGGAAAGATGTAGATGGCGTTTTGACTTGTGATCCTAACATATATCCTGGGGCGGAGCCAGTGCCCTATCTGACTTTCGATGAGGCAGCTGAACTTGCTTATTTTGGCGCTCAGGTATCATTTGCATGTTTGCGAAGTATAGATGTGTTTTCTACTGTTTTCATCTTTCGTTATTCTTTGATGCTCTGTAGCTCATAAAAAGCTATGTGAAATTTGGTTTTCCAAGTTACATTGTGGCTTTAACATCCTAGATTAATTGTTAACAGATACATATTCATAACCATGCAAAAAAAAGTTCTACTTGTTGGTTATTCTATTTGAGTTTTTGGGAAATTGATTAATAGTTTGGTGTCTGTGACGTAAAAAGCTGCATACTTGTTGGTTTGTTGCTTGGGGAACTGAGTAATAGGAGTGTTCTCCCTCACTCACTCTCTCTCTCTCTCTCTCTCTCTCTCTCTGCTTGAAGTATTGTTCTTACAATATTTATGTTTGTCTTTGGGTTGAAAAGGTTCTCCATCCTCAGTCCATGAGACCTGCCAGAGAGGGTGACATTCCTGTTCGAGTGAAGAACTCTTATAATCCTAAAGCTCCAGGAACCCTTATTACTCGAGCAAGAGATATGAGCCAGGTAAGCGTCATGATTTTCATAAAACCAACTTTTTTTTTCTGTTAATTCACTTAACATTTCTATTTCCCCTCTCTTTCAGGCAGTACTTACTAGCATTGTTTTGAAACGAAATGTCACAATGTTGGATATTGTCAGCACTAGAATGCTAGGCCAATATGGGTTTCTTGCTAAGGTGAATCAATGCAGATAATCAGACAAGAGAGCTCATATGATTGTATCTCAATATTTCCTAATACTGACTCAATATGGCGCCACTTCAGGTTTTCTCAACTTTTGAGGATTTAGGCATATCTGTAGATGTGGTAGCAACCAGTGAGGTGAGCATCTCCTTGACATTAGACCCTTCAAAGCTTTGGAGCCGAGAGCTGATCCAGCAGGCAAGTGTACGACATCAGACTTCAGCTTTCCATTATTATGCATTGAGTTTGAAAACTTAAACGCTAGTTTCATCTGTTGCATGTGAGTCCCAGCTTCTTGATAAAGTGTTTTTAACCTGACTTCTGACATCTTGATCAGGAACTGGATCATATGGTTGAAGAGCTTGAAAAAATTGCAGTAGTAAATCTTTTACAGAACAGGTCCATTATCTCGCTCATTGGGAATGTTCAGAGATCCTCACTGATACTAGAGAAGGTGCATGCTTATGGCTAATTTTCTTTGTTCCCTCTAAATTGTTACGCAGTTGAGAAAGTCAATATATTCTTTAACGTGTATATATATTGTACATATACATATATTGTGTTTGGAGTCATAGATATAATAAACACCAACAAGAAAACATGTTAAAGATGAATGCATTAAATTTGTCTGAAAAAGCCAAAACGAGCATGTTTGTTTATGGAATTTTTCAAAAAATTTCCCACATTTTAACTAACTACTTTTTTTAACTCAACTTTAACTCTACCCCACTATCATCAAAATTATCAATATAATTAAATAATATCAATCAATCATTCATACACACCACATCAACCTTAATTCACTATTCATCCACTCACATTATTTTAACTAACCATCACTTCAAATCTCTCTCTCCTACTTTTACATCAAATCAATTTTAATTATTTTATTATAAATATTATTTTAATATACCCACTAACAACTAACCATACCACCATTTTCAAAATTAACCAAACTAAACCAAAAAATAAAAAAAATTTATAAACAAACATGCTCTTAATGTTTAATTGAGTTGCAAGATGAACTGTGATTTTTGTAAGTACTGAGTTTTGTATTTGTTGTTATGTGATGAGGCAGACTTTTCATGTTCTCCGGACAAATGGAGTAAACGTCCAGATGATATCTCAAGGTGCCTCAAAAGTGAACATTTCATTTATTGTCAACGACAGTGAATCTGAAGAATGTGTTAGGGCTCTTCACGCCGCTTTCTTTGAGAGCGATCTTACGGAACTTGTATCCGGACATAGTTCTAGGAATGGNAAAGAAAAAAAAAAAGAAAAGAAAAGGAACACATGATTTCATTTTTAAATAGGTTGAGTTGCACTATTGATGGTGTGTTCGCTGCATCATTATGTTTGTACTACGACATGCATTTTGTGCCATGAAAAACGATCAATAGTTATTTACAGTTTTGCTATGCAGCCAACGGTTCGCTCCATAGTGGAGCCAACCTTCTATATACGAGTAGTCCATATCATATTCTCTGATTACTTAAATAATACTAATAATTTTATTAATATATTATTGTTTACTTGTTCTGGATGTAATCAATACAAGTGGATATAAATAATTTTGATGATGCATGTTGCAGATGAAGCTTTATTTGAAATATGTAATGTTGCATCTCCGGTACAAACTGAATTTGCCCATCTCCGGCACCTTCATCTGCAACTCACGATTTTTCGGCAAGGCCTCGACCTTTTCCTCCATAAACGATAAAGCTTTAGCCTTTTTCCCCAAAGTCCCTTTTTATCAATCTTGTTGAGATTTGTGCTTTATTAGACATAATTGTATAATCTGAATACCATTAACTGTGATGGTGATGTGGGAATACATGATGGATGGATGCATTACATAGAAAAACTATGCTATGCTGCAATTTATCATGACACACAAAAACATCAATATCTAGTTCTAGCAAAGTCCGGGTTTGGTATGGCCGCTCACAGAATTCTCCTCCAAGAACATTGCAGCAACATGCGTTAGTATATTATCAGTTTACTCTCGACTACAATTGCCTAGTGAATAATGAGTGAGATATGCTAAATACACAAGCAGCATGCTAACTTGTTAAACCAAAAATACTTGCGTCTTGGGATCTGTGTAATCCATGTACATTACGCACTCCCTCTCGACGGCCACTGGTCTAGCGTTCAGCTTCACTTCTGGATGCACGTCCGCCAAACAAGTGTCTGTTTCACATCTGCTGGAAAAATGCTAAAAGGGAAAAGAGGAAAAGAACAAAAAGAAAAGAAAATGGGAAAATAGAACAAAGAAATATATCATAGGTATTAATTATAATACTTAAGTTTGTCAGGAAACTTTGCCACCAAATATTGGAATTTAAGTATTTCCAAATACATACATGTCTAAACAGAAACATCTGGTTTGTCATAAATACGTTGATGGTATGGTCCTAAAGTTCATTGACAAGTCAGCACATGAAAGTCCCACAGAAGCATAACGCGCGGCTTTACTGTGGTCAATGGACGGATGCCAATTAGTCACAGCACGCCATCTCCAATAACTGGAGATCCCAAAAACACACACTCCCAGCATTCACCATCACACTTGAGATTTTAAAGAAGAATGCCTCACACAAACTAGATCATCCAATTTATTGCCATCCATCTTATACATTGATACACCTTCCATCTGAGTGTAATGGTCTTGTGCCCCTTTACTTAATTTCTCGTAAGGCATTGTCTCCCATTTGCTGTAATTCGAATTCTTTCTCACACTGCTTATATCTGGTGAACCGGACACAGGCCCGCTACCATAAGGCCCTGATTGTCCCCACACTTTACAGTTACGAAATTGCCCCACATCACCTTTTTGGCCAGTTTGATTCTTCTTTAGCCGTACAGCAGCCGAGTGAGCCCTGCTTATATTTTCTCGACTCGGTATATCTGACCAGTCCTGCTTCCTCTCAGCTCTCATTGGTGAATGGATACGAATTACCTGAAAGGTTCATTTATTTCTCTAAAATAAGCAAATAAATTTGCCATGGCAATTTAGACGAGACATGACAACATATATCATGGGGAATATATGGGAGAGAAAACGATACTAACACCAAGGCACTCTAGAAGTTGGTAGTATGCTCTCCCTTGAAGTGGATTGTGTCCTTTCCTCGGCGCTGAGAAGTACCTAGTCCTGAACCATTCCCAAAAATCAAGATGCAAGGATAAAATTCCCTAAGTATGACACCAGATTACCAGAATAAAGAGAAATTGAACTAACCACTCAGTATATCCAGGATCAACGGTGAAACCATAAATGTTGACTATGTCACACATGGAAAGAGCAAGTTCAATTGATTTCATTCCCGTTCCTTTGGCACCTCTACGCAGCACTATACCTTGGAATAGATAAACGGGATTCGGGATCCTCTGCATTGTTAAGATGGAATTATAAGGAATATCATCCAACGGAATATATAATAAACCAACAGATTTAACGTCCTTGTATCGAGCCACGCATACGAATTATACAATTAATCACCATTCCACGATACCTACCTTTATCATTTCATTGAAATCTCTATGAGTGAGGCTTTTGATTATAAGCACTTCATCATCTGCACCAAAATAACTGAGTGTCAAGCAAACATTACTCGAAAGGAATATTCAGAAAGGGTGATTGTATTACATGGAGATGCTGTTTACCTGACCCATCGAGAATCTTAATCATATTCCGTGCGGCACCCCTGACTACGAGGCGAAAATCTCTCTTCAGACCAACATGTTTGGCATATTTCTGTACAAGATGGAGAAAAAAACAACATCCTGTTTAAATTTGGAAAATCCAAATCCAGACAACAGATTACAAAAATCTAAATCAAACTTAATAGGTAATAGAATGATTGTATATGACAAAGCAGCGTACAAAAATTTGATACTACCTAGGCCTAAAAACGATTATAATGCAACAAAGATTGGTGCAGTGCAGTCCAGATCTAAGTTGCAAACAGAACCCAAAAAACCCCAACTACCAGGTTAGCCATCCACGTTAAAAGATTTTCAATTTAAGTGGCTATTATTAATCTCACTTGTTATCCTACAGCCCCTCCATATGGAACATGAGTTATCGACGACCAGAGAAAGAGCAATAGTATTCTTGTTTACCTCATTAACGGGGGCTTCGTTGTCTCTGATAACTGCGTCATGACTGTCAATTTCATTTCCAAATTCTGTCTTTAAGAGATCTCCTGAATTTCCAACAACGGCACAAGTTTGAAACTGGCGTGGATGGAAAGGTGGCTTTGCTGGTAAAAGCACATTAAGATGTTCCTCACAAAGAGTCTTATTGTAACATTTCTTTGCTCCTCTACAGTAACAACGGAAGCAAATAAAAGTAAATTCACAAGGTACTGTTTCTGGTAAACTAAATTTGGGGGAAGAATATGAGATCACAGCACAGTTTCAGCAAACAAAATAAGGTCATTAACGTACAGCTGTGCTATCCTCTTTGGAGCATAGTCTAGCCAACCATCAGGCCTTGCATCCAAATACTCTCTTGTTAACACTGTAGTCATATTACGATACTGCATTTCAGATAATTAGGCCGTTTACTCAATGTGCAAGAAAGAAAACTACTCCGAAAGGTGAACTCGATAACAAACCTGCTCCCACAATAGTAGTGCTTCACAAACATCATACTTATACTCCAAGGGCTCAAATATTTTAAACTGCTCATTGTACTGCAATTAGATACACAAAGCCAGTTACAAATCGTATGAGCTTCGAAGGCAGGATTGAACAAGAGAATAAGAGACCTACCCAAGTGCTATTAGTTCCTTCAGGAAATTTGAGAATCAAATTGCAGTGATCTATTATCTTGGCAGCCAGTCCAAGACCTCTGTTTGCCTACAAGCAACATCCGCGAACCAAAATCAAACTTAACACACGCACAAGAACCCGACTTGCTAATGCAGATCTTATGAGAACAATAGGGCACAACATATCGAGAGAGAGAGAGAGAGACACTCACACCAGAACCCGACTAACTTAACTTGCTAATGCAGATCTTATGATAACAATACGGCACAACATATCGAGAGAGAGAGAGATACTGACCACGCATTGCTGAACGTCAGACTGGAAATCGGACAGTATCTGAATATCGACTTTGTTAACATTTGTGATTCGGTTGTTTCCTGGTGATAATAAGAGCATTTGCGCATATTTGAAAGAGATTGAGCGATAAGAATGTAGAAGACAATGGAGCAGAGGGCAGGACGGTACCGGGCGAGGAAGAGAATTGAAAGACGAAAAAGAAGAGAGAGAAGACGGCGGCGGCACAGAGAAGATGGAGGAGAGCGGGTCTCCTGATGGACGACTTTCTCGTGCCTCTCATCATGGGATTTGGATCGCCGGAATTTGCTTCACAGTCTGCATCTGCCTGATCTAGCTTTCTTCGATGCTCTTCTACTCCATTCTACTTTCCTCTTTTCCTTTTAATTTTCAGACTAGTACAATAACCGTGTATTACACGGATGTTCAATTAGAAAGCTTTTATAAAAAATATTAAATTTTTTATTTTTTAAAAACTAAAATAATTTAATTTTATATAAAACATTACTTTGAATTTTAATTACATTGTCAAATTATATTTTTTTAATCATAATAATTAAACACCCGTACTTTAAATGAAAATATCAACCCATGTTGAATTTTTTTACTTATATCATATAAAATTACCGATATTATTTACTATTACATAAGTACAATATATATCTTAAATAAATAAAAATAATATGGTGATATGGATATGCATAAGTGTAGAATATGTTTATTTAATATTAAGCAAAATAGATTAATTTTTTTACTTAATTAAATGTCTAATACATCAAGTATCGTATCAGTCGTGCTTCACAAGTTTTTTAACTTTATATGTAATTTTAGAATTTATATAAATAATTATTTATTTTTATTACATTGACAACATACCAATTAGGTTTGAAATAAATATCATTTTTAAAAGAATACATACCAATTTCTATTACTTTATAATATAATTTATATTTTTATTTGATATAATTTAATTTAGTTTGATAAATAAATTTAAAGTTTATTTATAAGGATATATATTACTGTTTTGTATTATATATATATAAATAAATAGTAAAATACAAATGGTCTTCATAATGCAACACACTCATTAAGATTTTTTTTCTTGACAATATTAACCCTATTTAATGGATGTTACGGGAAACGATGGAGATGAGATATGAAGAGATACTGTGTATTAAATGGAGAGTTAAAAATGAAAAAATATGAACAAAATATCTAAAACGATATTTATTTTATCAATGATCAATTAAGCTAAAGTGACAAATAATAAAAATAGGAGAGAATATATATTATTATATATTTTAGTATGACACATGTTACTTGTGCGACTTATATGTGTTATATTATAAGAAATTTTCTACCTTATAACATATAACTACATTAAACATAAATATATTTTTAATTCAATAGTTATAATAGGAAACGATATTAAAATACAATTAATATAAATATTAATTTATATCCAAACCTAACTCCAAAGCATGATTTTTTTGCAAAATAGGATTTCGAAGCATGAGAATTTTCCACGTAAGTTCAGCGCATTCTGAAATTATATATAGAGGGGAAGGGGATATATACTATTTCATGTGAGTGTTATGTACACATCTATCTACATTTATTATGTACTTGTAATTAGCCTTCCATTATACTTTAATCAATCGAAATTGATTATATTTTCAATTTAACTATTTTATTTCCTTCTTATATTAAGTACTGTAATGTTACTCTATTATTATATCTGACTTTATGAATAAAATTCGAATTTATATATCAGTTCTAATAAAAAAAATCATAGAAATTATCCTATAAACCAAATCAACCAACTATCAAAAAACTATAGTTCTGTATTATACATTCAATTTAATAAAATCATATAAAATAATTGTTCTAGTTTATTTTCCAAGTTGGTCTGAGAACATTTATGTGAAAGAAACTAAATATTTTATATGAACAAGTATTTAAATAAAAAATCGTTAATATATTAATAATTTACAATTTAATAGCTAGAATCAAGGTTATAAAAACTATAAAGCGATCTTATTTACTGTGGATTTCGTTCTACATCCATTACTAGTAAGTACCCCGTGCGGACATAAATATTAAATGAGTTATTTTCACAATCTTATCCGTTTGTCTAAAAAATAGTGTAGTTATTATCTATTTTCTACCTCTTTCAATCAAGCGTTTAGTCTAAAAATAATAGAGTTATTATAGGTTTTTTTTTTCACATATTTTAACCAACGTTGTTTTTTTTAAGCCAGAACATTAAATATGAGCATGTTAGGGCTAACTTGTAAAATAATTAGTATATTATCTCACTAAAATATTTATGCTAATAAAAATTTAATTTTAGCATATAAATTTATCCCTTGATATAAGAGAAAGTAACAGTTTTACTTATTATTGTTCACCATATAATATTTAATTATTATTTTATTATATAATAAAAAGGAATACTGTGTAGTAGAATTGTTGTAAAATTATAAGAGAAATATGAATTTAATATCTTTTTATGATTTGATAATATAAACAAATCTATACTTACCTTTGACTTTTCCAGCAAAGGTAAAAAAATCAGTTCTGATTTTTATCCCATAACAAATCTTTAATGTCAAACATATAAATACCAAAACAAATTTGTAATTAATGTCATTTTATTTCCAACAAATATTAATTACCTTTGATTTTTCTGCCTACTATTTCTAGTAAATAGAATGATTTTTTATATAAGTAAAGATTTCATGTTAAACTTACAAAAGTTTTCTAAAACTATATTTCAAAAAAAGTTCGGTAAGCAATGTAAGTATTTGTTTTTACAATGAAAATCAACTTATGCTTAGCTTGTGCTTTTCTAAAAAATCCATCCTACCAGATGAGACTTGAATAAATAAGGATTATAAGCTAACTAAATAAAATATTTGGAAAGTTGTCATGTAGGTCTCACAAAGTACTTTCTATTTTTGGGAAAGTCGTCAGTTATTTGCCACATGTTATCCACTCATCAATTTATCCACGGAAATCTGATTTATTTTACCCAAACTATGTCGCGTGTTAAATAAGTTGTTGGCCTTCTATTAGTGTATAAAATTGCTTGCTGCGTAGTGGTGAATAATAAAAATTTCATTTTGCAACGTATTGGTGGGAAATAAAAGTTTATTTATTTTTGTACAACTGCATATTTATTATGGAAAAAAATCTTGCAATATGATGATAATTATATTTTTTTATTTTGCTATATTTATAGTATTATGCAAAACAACGTCAATTACTGATTTTTTACTTTTCAAAAACACACACAAAGAAGAAAAAAAAAAAACAAATAAATATGGCTTTCACTCTGTTGAAAAACGTCTACATGGACAATGCAAAGTGGAATATCATAGTTGGGGTTGTGAGATGTTACAACGGACATGCAAAGTGGAATATTATAGTTGGGGTTGTGAGATACTACAACGGACGACATTCCGCGGCCGGACTACTGTTTTGGGCCTTGAAGTTATACTTCACGATTCAAAAGTAAATATTATTTATATATCAATAAAAAATTCAATTAACATTTTTTTATTCTTATAATTGACTATTTGTATGTATTATTTTCAGAGATGCATGCATCGGTGAAAAAGTTTCACATGGAACTCTTTCGCCGTTACTTGGATTAAGCCATTGTTCTTGCAATTAGAGATTTCATAGTTGCACCTAATGGCGGCCGTTACAAGATAAACATTGTAAAGTGCCAAATTGCTTTTCATGGCCGCACGCGAATGGTAATAGTTTCAGAATCATTTTTCAAGATTTACTTACAACTTCAAGAGCTTTATGGAGTAAGAGAAATGATCGGTTTTTGATGACTCAATGCTAATAGTTAAATATTTATTATTTTTGTAAATTCAATTATACATATATCATTGAATTTGTTCCAAAGAAATTTGAACATTATTATTTTTTATTTTTCCTATATATTTTGCAGGTGTCATTGGACGAGTAGATGGATCTTACACTCACAAATGTAACATGAAGTTTCAATCTTGTGACGAAGGTTGTCAAGTTCATCTTACACCCACGCATGCATGTAACATATAACTCATCTTACATTATTTTTATATTAACAAAAAATATAACAGTAACAAATACGAATTCGGGCTCTTGTGTGCAAAGTCTGAGATTACAACTGTATGTACATGTACACAGCGAGGTCTTGCAACGTAAATACATCAAACAGTAGGTACATGGACTGCACCTCTTTATCACCCCATTCTTCTCAAGCCGTACAACTCAGTTCCTATAGTTGCATTAAAAGGTTTTATTCACTTGCTGCACGATGGTTTGTGTCCGAGTCTGCACCCACAAAAACCATTTGAAAGGGAAGGGGCCTGTAGACTAGTAATATTTTACGACAGAAGTTGAACAGCCGCAATTGCTGGTATTTTTTCTCGAAGTTTTTGAGTAACAGCTACGCGGACAGTCATCACACCAGCTGCAGGCCCACTAATCCGTACTTTGACTATCGGGTCCTCAATTCCCACGAGCTCTAGTTCCCCACCGGCTGCTCCAACTAGATAAGGTCTTATTTCTTCAAGAACCTAAGCAATTACAAGTGAATAAGATGCTAACTATAGATTTGAACAGAAATGTATCCAGCATTAATGCTGTTTAAAATTTAAGAACAAGAAACAATAAAATCAGAGCTCTTGACGAATAGAACGTCCATGATGGCAATTGCCGGGCAAGAATTAAGACGTGTTGGCTAAGTGGTTAACAAATATTCTCAAAATAGGAAGATAGGTTAGTACCTATTACATGTCCAACACCCAGGACCAAGGCAAGGTGATTGAAAGATGAACAAACTAATCAACTTAGGTTGTTCTGAGATGACAATTTAACAGTAAAGTGATATTGCTACTTCTGTACTTTAGAGGTTACCATAGCTCAGACAGAACTAAACGGCAGGTGCAATCCAGGGGTGTGAAAGGAGTGATGAGAGAGAAAAAGGGGGTCACTGTACAACTGTACAAGGAAAGGTACCCAAGGGCACTCCGTGTATCTAGGCACTCAAATTGTTCAAATCTCCAAATATGAAATTTAACAATATATATAGTGAAACCATATAAGTATGAGGAAGAAAATTATTTCTCAGTCATATTTATAAGCCCAATCCCAAATGAGCATACCATAAAAATGGTAGTAAGTGGTCTGCCTTGACCACAAATTAAGAAAGTGTGCTGCCTGATGATAAGCAACAAACCAAAAGTAGACAATCATTGCTAGAGTTATTTAAAGTTATCTGCCGCTTCTCAGTTTTTACATAAGTATGTATCAAATTAAGAGACTCAGGATATGCGTAACGGAATTAGGGAACTTGTGGAATATCAAAGACAGAAAAGGCAAAAATGACAAGAAGTCAAGGAGGCAATCCCAGAAGCTTCTGACATCATACCAAACACGTGAACGGCTGAACACGAAAAAGCTCAAGAAATTGATTTACATTTTTTTAACCTTGCGTGTCGATTTATAAGCTCCAATTTTTGGCTAAATCAGGAACTTAGAAATACATTATATCACAAAGCACAATGTTTTGACCAATAACCAGCTGCTTCTTTTGCTCCCTCTATTACCAGCCCCTATTTCTCATGGCTAAACAAAACTGAAACCTGTCATATATTCTTTCCAAATTCTCAGTCATTTTACTCTCATCCTAAATTTCCCTCCCGGTTTCTTGAATCATTCATATCACATTTGAATATGGACAAAATACATTTAGCTGATCACAAGCAGATTCCATGTTAAACAATAGACTTTAAGCCAGCAATAGAGAAGGTGAAAAATGAGTTCTGAGATAACGTATCAAATATCAGCATTGTATAAACACTACCCAAAGAAAAATGGTAAAGTATGATTCAGATGTCTAACCACGAAAAGAAAAGTTTCAGACGACATTGTACCTTCTCAATGTTTTCTTCATTTAGCTCAAGGCCCGTTTCTTCATCTGATATTGATTCAACAGCAACAATTTCAGGGATCTTTTCCATTAGACGACGTTCAATACCCATTTTCATCGTCATACTAGAACTAGGACAGGAACCACAAGCTCCTTGTAATTTCAATCTCACGACATTTCCATCGATTTCATGTAACGCAACATTACCCCCATCTGCCATAAGATAAGGCCGAACTTCATCCAACACGCTCTCTACATTTTCCTCTGTGAGCACAGATGAATCGGGTGTAACAACCGCCCTTATCCCTGCACAAATATAATATGCACATATTTTTCAGAAAAAAATAAAATAAAATCAACTCCAGAATGACAGAAATTTTTAAAATAAGAAATTAAAAAGAAAGAAAGTTATGCAGAGACAAATAAATAGAAACTCATAGCAGGATTATCACCCTACTCTCAGTAATAAAAGATCAGAATAATTCTGATATACCCGCATCCTTCGATAGTCAATTATTTAGCTGCTGATTAACAAGTTCATTTACCAAACGCTTGCTTTCATAAGGAAAGCAAATGAAGGAAAAATGGGCTAAAAACACTCACTTGGCTGCCGAGAAACTGAGGGCAACCGCACCTGATTGAATCTCCCGGAATCAGTAATCCGAGTGCCGAAAAATCTAGAAACCTGCATCAAAAAGGTTCTAACAATTATACTTCAGTAGAAATGATGCTTGCGAAGGCTGAAATCAACCAACCAGACACACACACACGCACAGTAGAGAAAATGCAATCAACAGTGAATTGACGAGAGAAAAGCACCTTGTGAGAAGTTGAACGGCGGTGCAGAGCGGCGGCGGATGAAGAAGGAGAACAAGACGGATCTAGGGTTTGGTGGAAGCTGCAACTGTAGGCGTATGGCGGCGTGCTAACCGCCATGGCTGCGTGCATCGCCGTGTCGATCTGCTGCGGTAGTTTCGATAATTCAACGGCTGGAGTTGAGGGGAAAATGTTTCTGGTTAGTATTCCTTCACACCCTTGAAACCATTGCCAAAAAAAGCGATATATGTTAAAAGAATATTTTATTCGACTCGTGCTGGAGAAAAAAAAGTGCGTGTGCACATTTAGACCAAAACCAAAAAAACGATCGAAATAAAAGTTTTTGGTTTGCTAAACCGATTATTTCGGTTCGTTTATACTTCGGTGTCAGGTCGGTTTTTCTAAAAATTTGACTCGGTTATTATATTTTTAACATTTCGATCGGTAGCTAACTCAACTTATTGATGAACAACCCTAGATACAACAAATATTAAGAAATAAAGATTTCCCCCATTTTTCTTGTTTTTCGTCACCTCTCGCCAGTAACTGATATATAATTTTGAGCTTAAGTGATAGGTTAACACATTTGAGATCTTATGTGATAGCATTTCATGCTTCCAGATAGACATTAGTTTTGTATGGAAATACATAAATAAATAACCTGTAAAGTATTTGACCTTTCTTTGGGAACATAAACTATTGTAGCTTTTATTTTCTTAAAAATCAAAAAATACCATGTACCACTTTTCCTTTTCTTATTGATTCATATATTAATAACTATAAATATGTATTTTTTTCAACGGAAAATCCTACAGTAATATATTTCAATGGAAATTTCAAAGGATATTCCAATGTTATAGCTTCCATTGGAATTATTTCGACGAAAATTCCAACGAATTTATTCCGTTGGAATGAGTTTTCCATTATTGGAATTCAGATGGAATTTTATCGTTCCAACGGCCATTATTCCAACGGTTTTTTACCGTAGAAATTTCTGTTGGAATATACAATTTCCGTTTGAATTTTTATTTTCACTCATATTTCAACCGTTGGATTTTGACAAATCCAACGGAAATTCCAATGGAAAACTCATTCCAACGGAATATTTTTGTTGGAATTTCCGTTGAAATCTATTGAAAATATTTCAACGGAAATAATAGCATTGGAATATTCATTGAAATTGCCGTTGGAATTTCATTGAAATATATTTCCGTTGAAATTTCCATTGTAATTCATCACGAGAATGTAGTGATAGATACAGACTACATAAATAGGTTCTGAAATGATAATTTAACATGAAATGGGCTGATAATTTCGATGTGATGTTTCAGTGATACAGTGACTGAGTGTTGGGGGATGATTGTTTATGGATTCAACTAGTTTTTATTTGGTTTGTTTTCTAACTATAGTTAATTTTGAAAAAAAGTAGTATGATTAGTTGTTAGTGGATATATTAAAATAATATTTAAATAAAATAAGTAAAGTTGATTTGATGCAAAGTAGGAGAAAAATGATTGGAAATGATGGTTAGTTAAAATTATGTGAGTAGATGAATAGTGAATTAAAGTTGATGTGATGTGTAAGAATGATTGATTGATATTATATAATTATATTGATAATATGGAAGATAGTGAGTTGAGTTAAAGTTGAGTTAAATTTGAATTTTGATTAGATTTTTTATTGTATGATTGGTCGGAAAAAGTGTGTATTTCATATATTTATTAGCGTATATTTATATGCTTAATTTTATCGCACTTATATATTTTTCGACTTATTTATTTATTAGGTGAATTTAAGTACTATAGTTTATTTATAATTTATTTTAGGATCTTTGCTCAAATAATTCGTAGGACCAAAACCGTTGGAACCGCAGTAGATGGAATTTATTGAGGATTGGGCCGCTGAACCGATTTACAATGGGATAAGAAAATTTGGTGGGCAAAAAAATTAATTAGCCCAATTTTACTTTGAAAGAAGACTCCACGCACGCACCCAAAGAAAAAAATCAAGCAGCCACCAAAGGATTTATTTGTGAATTCACGAAAGCAATTATTTGCGGGGACTCACGCATTGAGGGCTAGAAGGATTTTTTTGCTGAGAGTATATATATATTTGAAGACCCACGCAATTAAAGGGGAGCCGATATATTCACTCAACAGAGAGAAAGAAAACGTCGAGAGCCGCCACGCAAAGTCGCACATAGGAAAGAAAAGAGCAGACAGACGAGGAAGCCCGATCAATCGCGGAGAGAGGCCGCACCCGCACACGAGGGAGAATTTTATTCTCTCTCTTTTCTCTTTTATTATTTATTTTTATTATTATGTTAGGCTAGTTTATTTCTAGTTCCGGGGATGTTGAACCCTACGACTTGACGATGTTTGATTGATTTTCGTGGTTGATTATTGAGTTGTTTTTTTGGAATTGTTTGTGTTATTTTGAATAATTCACCATGATCTGTTAGTCTTGTTTAGATTGATCACCTAGATTAGACTTTTCATATCTACATCTGAATTAAACCTGGAATCCGTAATTGTTGTTGTGTTTAATTCATAAGAGGTAACCGGAAGATGGTAACTACCGGGGATAACACGGCCTATTTAAGTGAACGAACGCGGTTGAGTTCACTACTTAGTCTAGCCTATTTTTCTAATTCGTAAAGCGGCTAATTGTATTAAATCTTGAAAACGTTTTTCCGGACTGTACAAGAAGTCAGGTTTAATCGTCGAGCGTCTCGCGGTTAAATTAAAAATAAGGAAAAATTCGGGTAACTGACCGTGTCGTTGCCTAGGGCTAGTAACTCATAAGATAGCGAGATTTGATACCAGAATTGATTAGACGAGTCAGTCGAGGGTGGATACGGAACCGTGAACTAGAAACTTCTCTTTATTTATTCTATTTTATTTTTATTTCCTTTGTTTATTAGGATTTTTAATAAGTTTAGTTTTTAAACCAATCCCCCCTCTTTTATTGCTTTTATAATTCAATTAATACGAGAAAATTCACGATTTGATTCACACTCCCTGTGAGATCGGCCCTTGCTCACTACTACTACTAGTTGGTAGAAGTCTGTTAAGGAAAATATAAATTATAATTTTGCCGCGTTGCGACGCGTGGTCATTGTAGAAACCATAAACAATCTTTTCAGGTTACACTCCTTTTTGATAGATCATGAAAGCATTAAGAAAAGAAGGGGATAGTTGATCCAAGAACCAAATCTAAAGGCAAAAAAGAAAAAGAAAAAAAAAAAGACACCACATCTAAGTGTTTGTATACAAATGTATCCGCTCAAAATGAGTTTTTTTTGTTAACCAGAGTTAATTTTGAAAAAAAATGGTATGGTTAGTTGTTAGTGAAAATTTGATTTTATATTAAAATAATATTTAAAATAAAATAATCAAAGTTTATTTGATTTAAAAGTAGGAGAAAGATGATATGAAGTGATAGTTAGTCAAAATTATATGAGAGAATGAATAGTAAATTAAAATTGATGTATTGTGTAAGAATAATTGATTGGTATTATTTAATTATATTGATAATATTGAGAATAGTGGAGCTGAGTTAAAATTGAGTTAGATTTTGAGTTTGAATTGAGTAAGGATTAGATATTTCATATACAAAAATCTTCTTCCGCTACCTCCCTCTCCGTCGGCGGGTTGTAGCACCCGTCTAGCCGCCCGGACCGAGGCATGATTGGAGCCCTTTATCGCCCCCCAGAGCTCGACAGGAGACCCGTTTGGCGGCGGATCTCGACGTTCCGTTTTCACAGCCGCGGTGGGAGTGCTGTCGCCGCTCTCCGGCTCCAGCCGCAGGAGTCGGCCAGTCCGCGGGAGTCCGGCTCGTGTGTTGTTTCTTTTCCGCCTGTTGGAAGTCGTGGATGCCTGACTTTGTTCAGAGTTTTCTTCAAGTAGGCCGCGGCCCGCCCGTCCGTCGTGTGGCTGGAACGCCGGCGCTCGTCCGGTTGCAGCTTGAGTGTTCCTTCCTCGGGTCTTGATTTTGAGACCTCCAGTGTGTTCGTGGCGACTCTTCCTCTCTTCCTCGCCGTTGAAGTCTTTCGGAGCCCAGATCTGAAGGGAGAACAGCCACCTCCCCGGATCTGTCTTGGCGGTTTGTTTGCAGTTTTTGGTCTGAGTTCTAGTTTTTTGGTTTCGTTTTGCCTTTAGCTGCGGTATGGGGTCTCGGGGTCGGTTAAGTGGTCGTTTGGCTCGCCTGCTAGATTTAGGGGAGATTTTATTTAATTTGTTTATTAGGTGTGTGTTTTTTGCTTTTGTGTTTTAGTCAAGCTTTGTCTGACGTCTAGTCTCCGTCATGGAGTTTGTGTCTCTTTTTTTGAGTTTGTTTTGGGATTTTTTTTGGTCTCCTTTATGGAGTTTCTACCCCCTTGAACGCATGTGTCAATTCAAGGGGCAGAGCTGGCTCAGGCCTAGGGCAGCCTGGGCGACGGCCCAGGACCCAATTAAACAAGAGATAAGTACTCCCTATACGACCTCATTTCTTTTTATTTTCCAAAGAACGGGATTAAAAGTTTCAATCCACTACAACGTCCAGAGGTTCATATTTACGAATGTGTAGATACTCTAATTCCAGAAATAATGTCTTTGAAACCCTATTTAATTCTCCTAATCCTCCTCGCCCAGACTCATCTCGCCGCCAATGGAGAGTCACCCCGCTTCGAGATCTTCTCCCCCTTCGACTCCCTCCTCCCGCCGCTTGCACCGTCCACTGTCTGAACCATCCGCCGCCAGATTTGCCGCCGAATTTACAGTCTGAGATGAGTGAGTTCTCATTTTTCTGTGGTGAGCTCGTTTATGGCTCTATTTCCTTTCACCTTATTCATCTCTGGTGATTTTTTTCCACTATGTCCTAAATTTCAATTTTCGTCGAAGGCTTGTTGAAAAATCTATATTATCTATCTTAAATTCCATTTTTTTTTTTTTGTTTTTGTGGAGGTTTGATCTTAGATCTATGAGTTGCTGGATTTAAGATCTGAATTACTCCGGCGAAAAGTTCCAGCGGGACCTTCGTTCACCTCCGGCAACGGCACCTTTACATTTGACGGCAGATGAGTGTGCGTGCGACGAAAGAGGCGCGTGGAAAACGAACCGCCGCATTGTGCGGAATTGGATTCGCCGCCATGGTCTGTTCGAGTTAAAAAGTTCTTTGATAAGAGTTTGTGTTAATATGATGTTTATCTTGAGTTGATGTTTGTTAAATTATTTTCAAAAAAGTTATTTGAATGTAGTTTTGTCACAGGTTAATTTGATGTTTATTGATTGTATATTTTTGTCTTATCTATGGTGATGTTTATCTTGAGTTGATTTTTTTAGTTATTGATTGTATTTTTTTGTCTTATCTATGGTTTATAGTGAGTTTATTTTATTTATTTATTTTGTTTGTCTATTTAAATTTGTATGAATTAGTAAAAACTTAGATAATAAACATAAGATAATTGAAAATAAATTTTTAATAAAGTATAGAGATAGTGCAATAAATTTAAGATAAACTGAAAGTAATTTAAAAGAATTCATAGTATGAAGATAATGAAATAAATTTAAGAAAAATTAAAAGTAATCTAAAAAAATTCACAAAAGATAAACTAAAAGTAATTTAAAAAAATTCACAAAAGATCATGAGCGTGAATTTCAAATAAAAAAGGCGTTGGAGACAGTGAAATTAGTTTAAACCAAAAAGACTTTGGGAGACATAAGTTAAATTAGTTTACATTTCTCGTAATGAGGGAAAAGTTTTTCGAAAAAAGCACGGATGTGTCTTTAAGCCATTAAACAAAGGGGCACCAGCTACACACTTTCCTTTATATATATCATATACATATTATTGCTTGGGCCCAATTTAATTTAAATAAAAGTCCATATCCACTAACTTACCTGAAGCCGTGCCTAAAGGCGTGGACTTTCTCTTTCTGCTACTAATTCCAATTTCCAAATGCTTAGGATGAAAAAAAAAATGTAAATAAAAGCGTAACTAATGAAGACTAGAGATTAGTGAACAAGGAGGCCGTTCTGTCTTCGTTTCTTTGACCTTATCATCTTCCCAACGGCTAACTTCAATCTTCAACATATTATCTCGAGATTCTCGACTCTCATTCCAAAATTTCAACGGTAAGTTAATCAATTTTATAGATTATAAATAGACTTTTCAATTTTTATTTTTTTTATATTCAGCTTCAAATTTCAATCTGCTTCAAACCAATATCACTCATCAGCAAAATTATTAATTTGTTACTTCCAACAATCTTAGAGATCTAGATATTTTGAATCTTTTATTTATTTTGGGAAAAATTGATCAATTTATTTGTTATTTCCAGCAAGATATTATTTTTTTCAACTTTTGAATCTTTTATTTTTAGGAAAAATTGATCAGAAGAATTGTTAATTCAATTGTGGTTTTGGTGTTTTTTTTTTGGGTT